ATCTTAATATCAGACCACAAACTCTAAAGTTGATACAGAAAGAGTAGGAAATACTCTGGAGTTAGTAGGTATAGGTAAGAACTTTCTCAATGAAACCCCAGCAGCACAGCAACTAAGAGATAGCATAGATAAATGGGACCTCATAAAACTAAAAAGCTTCTGTTCATCAAAAGAAATGGTCTCTAAACTGAAGAGAACACCCACAGAGTGGGAGAAAATATTTGCCACTACAATCAGACAAAGGACTGATAACCAGAATATACAGGGAACTTAAAAAACTAAATTCTCCCAAAACTAATGAACCAATAAAGAAATGGGCAAGTGAACTAAACAGAACTTTCTCAAAAGAAGAAATTCAAATGGCCAAAAAACACATGAAAAAATGCTCACCATCTCTAGCAATAAAGGAAATGCAAATTAAAACCACACTAAGATTCCACCTCACCCCTGTTAGAATAGCCATCATCAGCAACACCACCAACAACAGGTGTTGGCGAGGATGCGGGGAAAAAGGAACCCTCTTACACTGTTGGTGGGAATGTAAACTAGTACAACCACTCTGGAAAAAAATTTGGAGGCTACTTAAAAAGCTAACATTGATCTACCATTTGATCCAGCAATACCACTCTTGGGGATATACCCAAAAGACTGTGACACAGGTTACTCCAGAGGCACCTGCATACCCATGTTTATTGCGGCACTATTCACAATAGCCAAGTTATGGAAACAGCCAAGATGCCCCACTACTGACGAATGGATTAAGAAAATGTGGTATCTATACACAGTGGAATTTTATGCAACCATGAAGAAGAATGAAATTTTACCATTCGCCAGTAAATGGATGGAATTGGAGAACATCATTCTGAGTGAGGTTAGCCTGGCCCAAAAGACCAAAAATCGTATGTTCTCCCTCATATGTGGACATTAGATCAAGGGCAAACACAACAAGGGGATTGGACTTTGAGCACATGATAAAAGCGAGAGCACACAAGGGAGGGGTGAGGATAGGTAAGACACCTAAAACATTAGCTAGCATTTGTTGCCCTTAACGCAGAGAAACTAAAAGCAGATACCTTAAAAGCAACTGAGGCTAATAGGAAAAGGGACCAGGAACTACAGAAAAGGTTAGATTAAAAAGAATTAACCTAGAAGGGAACACACATGCACAGGAAATTAATGTGAGTCAACTCCCTGTATAGCTATCCTTATCTCAACCAGCGAAAACACTTGTTCCTTCCTATTATTGCTTATATTCTCTCTTCAACAAAATTAGAGATAAGGGCAAAATAGTTTCTGCTGGGTATTGAGGGGGTGAGGGGGAGGGGGGGTGGAGTGGGTGGTAAGGGAGGGGGTGGGGGCATGGGGGAGAAATGACCCAAGCCTTGTATGCACATATGAATAATAAAACAATTTAAAAAAAGAAAAATAAGTAAATAAAGTAAATGACCATTGCACTCCCCCCCCAAAAAAAACAAAAGAGGAAAGAGTCAACAGAATGTTCATAATAAGCAGCACAGGGAGATGTGAGTGATCTTAACATTTAATGAGTTTTTGTTATTATGATTTTGCCAGCATTTCTTTTTATTTCAGCTAATGGAATTCTTATAATCCTCTTATGGGTTGACCCTACTATTGGTCAGAAAGGACCAGAAAGTTCTCATGTTTTCTCTGTGAGAAATTCTGTAATTTTGTTGCTAAACCATAGCTGAGGAAAGTGGGGAAGGAAACTCTTTTTCTCTATGCTTTAATTTGAAAATAACTGCCTCTACTCTTGAATACCTGGCTTAATTAGACTACTCTGATTTTCCATTGGCAAAATTAACTAATGCAGGGAGAAAAGGAACCCTTACACACTGTTGGTCCAGTCACTATAGAAATAATGTATTTATATATGATTTATATATGTTTGGAGTATTTATAAAAGAAAGAATGAAATTGTGTCATTTGCAGGAAAATGGATGGAACTGAAGATCATCATGTTAAGTGAGATAAGCCATTCTCAGAAGGACAAATATCACATTTTTACTAACATGCAGAATCTAGACCTAAAAAATAATAAGACATCATTGTAAAAGTGGGACTGTTCAGAGGGGAGAACCAAAGGGTGGGGGAGAGGAAAAGGAGAGGGTGACTATTATAAATGTATACAGATACTGTTACCAAGGAGGGGAAGGGAGGGTAGTTAAGAGGGAGTAATATATATGAGGTAAATTTGATCAAAGTGACTGTAAGCATGTTGTAAATATCACAATGATGCCCCTTTGTACAATTAATTCATTCTAATAAAAAAATTTAAAAACTGACTCTAATTATAGCGTAATCACACCTTTTCTTAACAGATACTAAAGCCAAATGTTATAATGTTGGATGAAGTCATTGTGAAGAACTTGTTATAAGGCCTATTTTGAGGTACCACATGAATTTCACTTAATATTATGCAGTGACAGGTACCAACAGATACATAGTTTACTGAAGAAAAATTATGAATTGCTACTATAATTTATCTAAATACTGATGAATTCCACAAGTTATTTCTTAAGAAGTATGTTCACTGACCATAATCTGTCCTTTACCCACACACTCAATCAACTCTTTTCTGGTTTTTCCCCTCCATCTTCATTTTCATCACTGCACAGCCTGAGCACTAGGATTGACCTTTTGATGGGTATTCTCACTGGTACTCTCAGCCCCCTTACTCCCTTGAACTTATGCTTATTTCTTCTGCCAAGTTCCAACCCATAGTCAACCAACCATCTTTTCTCTCAACTATAGCTTCTAGTTTCCCAACTACTGTTGAAGAAAATTGTGCAACTGCAGACTCATAGCCTGATAAATTTTTGATTTCCAAACTCACATGACCCATAGCACTACATGAATCCTTTTACTCTTAGCTGGTTTCCTTTTCCATGCTCAGGTGAAATGTTCAAATAATCACTTTTCTGAGGTTTTCTACCTTCCCAATCAGCAGAAGACCCAACTTTCTATGTAGGAAAATTTAGTGTTCAACTTTCCTCCCTACCACTTCTAGTGGCCATCTGTAACTTTACCTTTCCTTTTCCTTGTCCCAGAAGCTAATCTTGTGCATTACCCCCTCTCAATACTATTAGGTTTTGAATTTTTTGATTGTCTTTGTTTTTGTTGTTTTTAAACTGTTAACTACAACATCTAGGTACATTATTTTAAGGCAAACTCTGTCCTTGGAAGTGGACATTGGAATGTTAAGAAATAAACATTGCTGATTGGCCACAGAAAAGATCACATCAGAATAGCAAATGTTCTCTTCTTGGAATCATTCACAAGCAAGGACAGAAAGGAAGGTGAGTTGGGATGCTGCCTGCCCATTAAATGTTTTAAAATTCTATAATAGTTCTGCCAGCCAAATGTCACAACATGAAATTTAAAGAGGCTACGCTTTAGTGATCAATGCCATTTTTGTCCTCTATTGTTTGCTACCACTTGCTACATGTTCAGTCTAAGATGCTATTAATAGTAATTAGTCTACCAAGTAGTTCCCTTAGGACTTTGTTCACCTTTATTCCATCCAAACTTTTCATGGATATTCCTAGGAAAACTAATGTGAGTTATGATTGACCAGTTATGGTTTTTCTAATTTAAAGTCATATTATGCTAAGTATCACATGAAACTTTCAAGTGGCACATGTATGCTTTAGCAAATATATTTCTAGAGACTGACTTGAAGAAGCTTTGATATAGAGGACACTTATGGGAGGTATGTATTTAACCAGATCTGGCAGATCCAGATTTTGTGGGACTCTGATCACCTATAATTTGGAGAAGTCTTTCTTCCCAAAAAGGGATACAAATCATGAACAAAAAATTAATTTCAGAGACTTTGGATAAGATCTTTAAAATGAAAGGCTCTGAAACTTAAGCTCCATTAGCTTAGCTTCACATAAATCAGGTTTTTTCTTCTTTTTTTTTGCATTCAATCACATAATTGGGGCATTAAACCTAAACCAAACAAAATTTCACTATATGTGAACACCTACCATAAGCCAGGCACATTACATATTACAAACAAACTTATCAGATCAATATTGCCATTTTTATTTTTATAGAAGTGAAAACTGAGGCTCAGAGAATTTAGAAACTTGCTCAAAGGTAGCCCACAGTTTACAGTGGTGCTGAGATCCAAACCAAGTTCCCACAAACTTAATTTTGTGTTTTTCCACTACAATACTTTGCCTTTAAGTTTCTTCCCAAAGATAATGGGTTTTATTTACTTTAGAGAGCACTCCTAGAAAAATGACTGGAAAAGCTTAGTCAATGCTTAAAATTAGCATGTCTTATTTCCCATTTAAGACTTGCCCTAAAAATACTGACCTAAAACTGTATTTAAAGAATATGAAAAAACAAATGTTTAACCTTTTGGATCATCTTCCATACATTAAATGACATAGATAAAAACAGGAGACCTTAGGGTCAATTACATTCACACTTTTTTTTTATCAGTTTGTGCCCTATTATTTTTAAAACATCTCTCAGAAGTGTCTCTTCCTCTTGCTAATGCTCCCATAAATGGGTGCTTTGTCTTTTCATCATTTCCTCACTCACAGGACCAGCAGTTTGAATAGCTAGGCATTCCACAGAGGTTTGTTGTCTTGGCATTGATGAGGTTTTTGGTAGGTCACCATTTTCTAACCCAATAGGAATTCCATAATGTAAATATGCTACCATCCTATCTTATTCATTCAAAGGCATCAGAATAAGACTTTTGGCATTTGACTAAAGTTAAGACAAGAATAGATCAGATGTAACTAAGTGTTTTCAGTCAACAAGCTGCCATTGGTGCTATTTAAAAGACCTGCTGATTTTGTGGTCTTAGGGCTATTGTGACCTCAATCTGTAGCTGAAATCAGTCCAATGCAACAGGAGTTTCAACAACAGCAGCACAAAAAATGATGTCTTAACTGGATGGGAAAAGAAGACATATTTTCAAGAAGGCCTCTTTATAATTAGAGTGGAAGTTTCTCTTCAAGATGACCAGTGGTACAAACCCTTCAGGATCTTGCTTGTCCTCAAAAAGGTGAGTCTTTGATGGAAAAAGCCAAATGGCAACCATCCAGGAGGGTCTTCACTAACCAAGCTAAAGATAGATATTATGATATCGCTTTCCACAGAAGTTCTAAGATAGATGACAACTACTTGAAGGAATTGAATGAGGACTTAAAACAAAGGAAGCAGGAACTGCTAGACATGCTAAAACCTCTAGAAGATAAGAACAACCTCTTATTCCAAAAGTTAATGTCTAACTTGGAGGAAAAACAAAGAAGGTAAGGGCTTCCTATTCCTAATCTTAGAAAGACTGGAGAATTTAATCTCCATAGTATTTAGCAATAGTTATTTACACTGTTTTGTTCTTGGTTTTGATTTTGCATTTTTTTTTTTGTTTTTAAATTTGAAATATTCAGCTCTAATAGAATGCAAAGAATTTGTATCACGGTAAAGAGAACCCCTCCCCTTTTTTAGTAAAATTAAATATGACTCAACTCTCATCCCATGAAGTTACAGTTGTCACTCTTCCTCCTTAGGATGCCCATCCAAGAAACAGGTAAAAGCCTTTAATAACTTGGGTCTATCGTGGTCACATTGATAATTTCCTTATTCATGGTTGCAGAATCATTTTAGGATAAATGACTCTGTTCTTTTTATACCAAGTAGTAGAGTAGTGATCTATTTCTAAGCCTAAGAGCCCTTTGAAGTAGGGTCCAACCTCTGTAAAATGCTCAGAAGCTGAGGTCTTAACTCTGCTTTAGAACACTTGCTGTTCTTGGGACCTACCAACCCAATTCTCTCTTTCCTTTCTAGTCTCAGAAAATCTCACCTCAGTTGGTCTACCTTCTTTCTATACCCTTATAAGGATCTCAGACTTTGTGAGAACAAGCTGTGGTCAAGCACCAGCTGTTTACACAACCCAACAACACAGACTTCTATTAAGGCAAGAGAACATGAAAGTCTGGTTTTCTTAAACCTGGGAGGAAAAAGGACAAAGGACACAAATATTAATTAATTAATGTCTTCAAAGAATATCCTCTCTCACATTCAAAGACTTGATACTAATTCAGGTTTTGTTAGGAACTTCCCAATGGCATGCCTTCTTAGGGCCTGCTAAGGACGTAAGTTGTTTACCCAAACGTCAAATGTCTAAAGACATTTGGAGACCCAAGGTGGATGTGGACAGAGATAAGATAGGGATGGGTTATCAGACACAACTCTGAGATTTATCAAGAAAGCATAAGGTTTTTCAACTCCCTTCTTTACAAGGGCAGAACCACTTCCTCCTCATCCAAAATTCATACACCAAAACATTCTTTTGAGGGGGCATAAATCAATCTCACTGACTGTTGGAAACATAACTTTTTAACCTTAAAGAGCACTGAATTTATTACTGAGCACATAACTAAGAAAAATGACAATTAGGAATGGAATCATTCTAGTTATAGAGACTTTCTCTGTCTGGAAGAACTTTCATAACTTCTGGGATTTCAGCCCCCATCTGACTTCTGTAGCAGAGTACTTCCTGGCTGGTTGCAGGATATTAATATTACCTTTTAGGAGGCATGTATGTTTTATGATGTTTCTCTTCTTCTAGTCTGCAGATCATGCAACAGATCATGGCAGGGAAGGGGTATGATGAATCCTCAGTCATGGAGCTCATTAAGGAAGCAGAGGAGATGAAACAGAACTTGGTAAGATGTTGGTGGGTACTTCAGGGAGCAGCCTACTGAACAGGCCACCATTAACTTAGTAATTTCTTTCAACCTCACTTTAATGACTGAACAAACACATGTCTCTGTTTGTTTGGCTTTCCCCCCTCCACCAACAGGAAAGGAAAAACAAGATGCTTCGGAAGGAAATGGAGATGCTATGGAACAAGGTGTGCCTCTAAGGACCTATTGAAAGTATTGTCCTGCAGATAATAATGGAAAGAATCTACCATTCCTCTCATCCCACATCATCATTTTCTCATGTTTCTGCTTCCACTGATAACTTCATTCCAATACATTCTTTGCACAACAGCCAAAGTGATCTTTAAAAAAATAATAAAAGCATATCACTTTTCTTCTGAAAACAGTTGCAGAACTCCTTATTGTGGCATAATCTGGTTTGTGCCCACCTCTCCAATCTCTCATAGAAGTCCTTACCTTGCTTTCTATGCACCAACCACATTGGATTCCTTGTGGTAACTCTAGACCTTTGCTCTTTATTTAGCCCCTGCCTGTAATGCTATTTGATAGAGGTTGACTCATTCTTATCCTTCAGGTCTCAGCTCAAATATCACCTATTCAGAAAAGTCCTCCTTGTTTACTCCATCTAAAATACGGCACCCTCTTCCTACTTTCTACTATACAACTCTGTTCAGATCTTCCACATCACTTTTCATAATATAAACTTATAATTTTATTGTATTTTTTTAAACTTGTTTCTATCCCTTTTCCCCCTTCTGGGATACAAGTTTTACCAGTGTCTTGACTGCTTTGTCTGAATTCCTAACACCTATCACAGTGCTTGTTGAAACATAATAGAGAATCAATCAATGTAAGTTGAATGAATGAACAAATGAATATCTAACTTTAATACCCCTATCCTTTTACAACAATCATTGCATTGTTTAAGATAACAATAGCCTTTTGCTGGGAAACCAGGAGGAGAAATTCTTTTGTGGATTAGCCCTTGAAACTCAAGTGCTTTTGCCCAGAGTATGCAACTGAAAAACCAGACTGTGTTTGTGATATAAACAAGTGTGTGGTAGTGAATTCTGACTGCTTTTTTTCATCTCACTTTTCCACAATCAGGATACTTCCAAGCCCTGTTCCTTGTACTGAGATCTGAAACTAGTTCTTAGTAACAGCTGTAAATTAGTTCTATGGATTATGAGAAGTTTTAGTTCCCAGGTTCTTGAGTCCTTGTGATAGGAAATGTGCCAGGTGATAGGAAATGTGCTAGCACAATTCCTCTGTCAAAATCCAACTGCTCCAGAGCTCCCAAAATACTTTTTATAAGAGATATCCAAACAAGTTAGCTCATAATCAACTTTCCCTAGCTATTCTTTAGACAAGGAGAAATGGAGAAGAGCAGCATGACTTGTGGCTAAGAACATAGGCTTCAGAGTCAGAAAGATCTGGTTCTACCTCTAGCTCTGTACTTTCCTAGATGTGTAATGCTAAACAAATGACTCCAAGTCTTAATTTCTCACCTACAAAATGGTTAGTTAGTGCTTGGCATTTGATATCAGTTCAATTAATGGTTTTTAAAAATTATTACAAGATACACTCAAGAGACATAATCGAAGGGTTCATTATATTCTGAATCCCCTTTGGTAGGTAGCACAATTGTATTTGGGGCCCTGAGAAGCTGCTGAGTGACAGGAGCCAAAAGCTTCGACTCATATTGGTTTTCCGCTTCTCTCCTCATTAATTTCCACTAACTAAAAGCTTTGCCAAAATGTCTCTCCACAGACATTTGAGACAGAAGAGCTTCGTGATCAACAAAAAGCACCACAGATAAAACCCAAGGCAGACTTGCAGGACAGAAAGGCAAGTGCTTAGAATTTTATGATTATCAATGCCACGTAGCTGGAAACAACCTGTTGATAATCAAGGCTAACTTGAATAGGCAGATAGGTAGAATCTGAGCTTTTAGGGTATATTGGATTTATGTTCAGCTAAGACATTGTACTCTTTTCCTGGGACTTCCTATTACTTTGGCTCTCTTCTTTCATCCCAGGCTCCCAAATCCCCCTCATCACCTGTGAAGACCAAGAGTGAAATGGAGATACCAGTTGCAGAGAAAGTGAAGGAGATAAGGAAGGTATACAATCATTCTGAACAGTAATGGATTTGGATCTGATAAATTAAGATATCTTTAATGTAGGAATAATCTGCCCAAGCTATGGTGTGCCACTGAACACAAGGCAGATTTTATAAGCAATGTGGTACCTTGGGGGTATTCAAGTCAGAGTGATGTCACACATTTCTGGGAAATCATGTTACCTAGGACAAAGTGAGAAAAGTTTTATTAATAGTGACAACTCCACAATACCTAGGTGATGTCAGAACATTTGTTAATTTGTCTTGGAAAATTTATTTAGAGATATTACATTTGCATCTCATCTTCCCATAACCAACTCATTCACAAAAAATGACCATTTCAATTATATTCTAACATTTAGAGAGTGGATTCTACAGGGGAGATCAATTAAGAGGACTGTGCAGTTGAAATCAACTTAATAGTGAATCTATGGCACCATAATTTTGCTATAAGGTCATGCTACATATTGAGAAAACTGATTTTTGATCTCAATTTACTTTGTCACCAGAGGCTCTTTCTTCCACCAGGAAAAGCAACAGAGGAAAATGGAATGGGTCAAGTATCAGGAACAAGCCAACATTCCTCAGGTACTAAGGTCTTCCAAGGCTGGACATGGATGCATTTCATTCCTACAATATAAAGCCTTTAGCTTCTCAGGGTTAAGCCCAATCCCTTGATCCTGGGTTACCAATTGTCCTGCTAAAAGAAATGTATCATGGCAATGGGGGAGGAGGAAGGAAAGAGGGTGATGGTGTAAATATGATTGAAGTACATTTTATATGTGTGTGTATGAAAGAAAATAGCATAATGAAACCACTAAAACTGTTTAAAAGGGGAAAGGAGGAAAAAGGGGTTAAGAAAAAGCAAAAAGGGGTGAATTTGATCAAAGCACATTTATATGCATGTATGAAAATATCACAATAAAACTCCTTTTGTATAATTTGCGCTAATAAGAAATATTTTAAAAAATTGCTAAAGAGATGAACAAAGCAGAGCCAACTATTATTTTCTTATTTAACCAAAAATAAAATTTTGTAAACCATAAGAAAAGAAATGTATCATGAGAAGATGGCTGATGTGACCTATTTCTAGTTATACATTGAGTAACTTGGAATGAATATTATTTTTTCCTGTGTTCTTGATTTTCTTGTAATTGAAATGGGGGAAAAATAACAAATACTTGCTGTCCAATTTTGAAAGACTGAGCATGAAGGAATTAGTTTTAAATTTCTGGGTAAAGAACATTTAGGTAACAGTGGATTTAGAAAAGTCAATATTATATGAGTAGTTTTGAAAAATGTCCCCTTTCAGAATGACTTTCATGGCAAAGTGATTGAGCTGAGAATTGAAGCCTTGAAGAACTACCAGAAGGCCAATGACCTGAAACTATCACTGTACTTACAGCAGAATTTTGAGCCAAAGCAAGCATTTTTAAATCTTCCAATGTCCCAAGGTAGGTAGAATATTAAAGGTACACAGTTTGAGATCTTCTTAGTATTGGCGATCCCGTTACTTGTAAAGTGAACATCACAATGCCTGGCATACAGTAAGTTGAATGTTAGTGGTATAATAATTAATTTTTCACTATCATCATTATTAATACTACTCAGAAGCTGTTGTACCAAGGTAAGGATTCTCTCTGATGAAATAAAATTTTCCTTTGTGAAGACAGAGTAATATGTACTTAGTATATGTAGATGATAATACAGTTGGTGCTCAAAAAGTATTAGCTTTTCCGACTTTCACCTTTCCTAGACATTAGAGTTGTTCGATATAATGAATTTCATTGGAATAGACTCTGCTATTTCAGAGATGAAAGTTGAGAAGACACATTTGACAATGGTTGTAAGTTGCACTCATTCAGATATTCCTCTGGGAATTTCAGTGATTTCCCATAAAGACTTCATGGCACTATTACAGGAAATCATGTAGTTTTAAGTAATGGATCAAAGGAAAGGGAAATGATTCTCAAAATTTCAAGTATCTATGAATTGGAACTCCATTTTTAAAAAGAGATATGCTTGGGAAATCAGAGCCAAAGGATGACAGTGTTCTATATCAGTGTGTTTCAATATGTATGATTCTAATTTCTTTGCAGTCTTATTCCATAAAAGGCTTGAATGGTTTATAAAAATCACACCATAGGATTAAATAAATAGATGAGTAAATCAAAGGAAAGTGAAAATGAATTGAAATTAGATAAATACATGACAATTCATGATAAAAGTACTATTTTCTTGGTAGAATAGGTTATAAATTTGATTCTGAATTCCTCAGCAAAATGAGACATGAATTTGTAGGTTCACAACCTAACAATAAACTACTACTCTGAAGAAACATATCTCTTCCTGGTACTGAGACCTGAAAGTTCTCCCCAGGACCTCATAATAGGGATATGATCCTATATATGTGATGATAAATTAGTGTCTGATCCTATATGTGTGATAAATTAATGTCCTCAATAATACTTCTAAAGCTGAAGATTTTGAAATTGAAGAATTAAAATTTCCTAGGCTGTTTGTTATCTGTTCCTTGGCACAATAATGATGGCAAATTATTAATCTGAAAAAAGTTTAAAGGGATACATCAACTCAAGATGATCTGGCCCAAGTACCTAGCATTCTGCCTCTGATCCAAAGGTAAAATTTAGAAAATCCAGAGAACTGTCTTCTTATTCTTTAAGCATAGTTCCACACATATATTTCTTTCAACTTATGTTTTGACAAGAATTGGACAGCAGAAAGCTGGAAAGAGAGAACTTGGAATGCAACCAAAAGCAGTATAAAGTCATTAAGATGCAAATTTAAAAGACAGAGGACAGAGGGTTATGAAGAGGACAGACAGGTCCCTGTTTGACCTTTCAAAATCAGCCAAAGGTCATCTCAAGGGATACACAGAATAACGATCCAAAAGTGGTTTTTTTTTTTTTTTTTTGTGCAGCTGAGTTTTTTTGGTGGGGCTCAGAGATTCTTGCTTACAAAGCAGGTGTTCTACTGTTTGAGCCACACCTCCAGTCCATTTTGCTCTAATTATTTTGGCGATGGGGGGGGTCTCATGAACTATTTGCCCAGGCTGGTATCAAAACATGAACCTCCCAGTCTCAGCTTCCCAAAAAGCTAGAGCCACTGGTGCCTTGACTCCAGATTCAAGTCAAGCCCAGATTAGTAAATAGTGAAAGATTCCATTCAATTTGATTGCTCAGCAGATTTTTTTTTTCTCACTTGCAGAACAGTGAATCAATTTGAACTAGGGCAATCTACTAATCAACCTCCTCTCTCTATTCTGTACTCTTAAACTCCTGGAGAGAATTAAGCAATAGGGTATTATACAGCTCAGTTACTACTCATTAATACAGCCACAGTCATGAGTGACCCATTCTTCCTATGTCTTATTGATTGTGAATTCACTGAGCACTGATTGTAGGCCAGTTGCATTGTCTATTACACATATTTTAATACACATATCTTTTTTTAAATATACGTATCTTTAGGTTTGATTGAGTCCAAGTGGATCTGAAATCTAATGAGTCCCAGATTTTGGTTATGTTGACCTAGTGTTTGATTATTAAAAAGAAAGTAAAAGAGATGCTAAATGGAAGAATTTTTAAAGTAATCATAATGAAATTTTTATCAACAGCGATATGGTAGGAAAATAGTTTGGTGGTGCTCAGTGTTTCCCAATTTTGTGTATCACTTAGACTATTATTTATTCAAGTTTTGGTATTTTCATAAAATTTATGACCTTTTTTATAAATACATTTCGTGAAAATAAAACATATATTAGTAAATGAAAAAACAGTAAAGTTTTCCATAAGACAAGTAAGCTTAGTAAGTACACAAAACTGAAATTTTATTTTCTTATAAGAGTCTCAGTTTGAGGCCTTTTTATCTTAATTAGAAAGAAAGATTAATAAGACATAAGTAATTAAAAAAATCTCACCAACTTAGAACTTACTCCTTAGTGATATCAAGTTTCAAAGCACTGTAAAAAGAATACTTCTCTCATGTGACTTATAGTATTTAATACTGTGTTCTAACACCTCCTAAATTTATCCCAGTTGCCACCTAAAATAATCTCACCATTACATTTTGAGAAATTGCCTTTTTTTTTTGTGGTATTGGGGTTTGAACTCAGGATTTTGGGTTTGCAAGGCAGGCACTGTACCACTTGAGCCATGCCTCCAGTCCTGAGAAGTTGTAATTTAATGGGAAAAAGCACTAGATAGAGTCATATACATGAGTTGAAGACCTTACTGGTCTAGAGTTTAGAATCTAGCAGTTAACATAACTTGGGCAAGCCAGTTTTTTGTTTCTCTAAAACAACCACAAAATATTATAGAGTACATTGTGTAACCCTTATAATGACTCTGTGAGATAGGAATTATAGAACAAGAAATAAATTTAAAAAATCCAGGCTTCTGGGTCCACAGTCAAAGCTTAGTTCCTAAAATGTGCAATCAAATGGCAGTGTTAAGTGAGATTTTTTTCATGCCTCTTCAGTCTTTAAAAGCTTTGGTTTTAATTCAAAGTTAGCAACTATTTAAAGTATTATCCTTCCAATGAAGAATCATACTTGATAAGGTTAATTTCTTCTGTAATAGAGAAAACAGGATTACGGAGTGAGATTTGTAATTTTGCATTTAGTCCAGTAGGTGGCAACAACCACATCCAGGCTTCAAGTCCAGCACACATAGTGGTAATTCAGGAAATGCTGTAGAAGAGACTGGCTTTCTTATTACCCTTAGAACAAACTGTGCTACATTTTATACCAAATGAAAAAAGGAAAAACAACCTATGTATGTTTTGTGTCATATCCTGTGGCACCAAGATGTATTACTGGCAGCCTTGATTAAACCCAGTATTCTGTTGCGCAATTCTAACCTATTATTCTACTCCCTGAGTTACAGTTCTTTCAATTCCAAAACAAAAACAAAAAATAAAAACCAGTTACTGCCCACTTCCTCCACAATTCTTGTTCAATACTGTTTCCCTCTACCACTGATACGTCAGTGATAAGTCAGACCACCAGAACACTGAAGTAAAAAATGGATTGGGCAATTGCACAAAGACTATTTGAAGTTTAACTTCTTACTAGTGCTCCAGGATGGTGTTCCTTTTCCTCTAGTTTCAAAGGATTTGGATTTCACAAATCAATCTTAGAGAAAGAGTGGGATGTCATTTTGGATGCACCTCCTAGCAAATCATTGTGCAGGTCTTTCTGTTCCTAGGCAGTTCCAAGTGGAGGGAGGTTTTTACTCCAGGGCTTTTGGCCAAGAATCCCTCCTCCTGGTCCAGTGTGCTGGTTGGCTGAGTTGCAGTGGTGTGATCATTTGATTGGCAAACATTAGTGACTTTGTTACACTTCAAGCAATTCCTACTCACAATTCCCTTGAGACTCAGGATGTAGGATTTTTTTTTTTTTTTTCTGTTGTTACACCTTGAGTGAAATCTTTACATGTTTCCAGAGACAGGTCACATTTGAAGGGATTTATTGTCCCAACCAGTACAAAATTATTATTTGACCCAGGGTGTATGGGAGTCCTCCTTGGCTTTTATAGCATCAAGAGAACAGTTTGTGGTCTTTGGCAGTTACCTACCTTAGAGAACACAGGCACTACACAAACTCTAAATTCAGTTGAATTTCCCATTATATCTCCTGCTGTTTAAAGAAGAGACTTATCTTCAGTAATAATATAAATCGTGATAAAAATTTGATTTTGACAGCCTTACTTTTTTCTCCCCCATCCCCCACTCAGCATTTCCTTGATCTCTTTGAGAAGAAATGGAAGGTTCTCCTTTGAGAAGAAACTGAAGGTTGGAGGTGGATATTGTGCTACACTTACAAATTCAGATGAAAGCCCAGTGAAATGAGAAATGTATACTCTTGAGACCTTATTTACCCAATAGCCCTATGTTTTGAAAGCAAGTCATTCCTCTTGCCTTTAACCTTTACTTCACTTTAGTGTAGTCCTCCTGATGGCTGAAATACACTTTAGCAGATGCTGCCGAAGGGAAAATACTAGTGTTGAGCTAAAATGCTAAAAAGCAGGGGTGGAAATCCACTGACAGCTCAAATCTGGGTACCTGATAAGTAGTATTGCTCTCAAGTATAGGCTTTTTTAAGCTTTGAGGTAACCTGAACCTTTTGAATTTGAAAGTTAGAGTCATGGTGTTAGTAGGTTATGAAGCCAATTTCTAAACTAGGTCATTCTTTTGCTTCCCATAAAACCTCGCAGAAGTCCAGGAGAATAATTCCCTTTCCCCCTAAAAATATAAATTTTAAATTAATGTAAACTCTACCCCTATTAATATCATTATTTTAATGTGTGACAATAGATTCAACTGTGTGCATCATACTCTGGAGAGGAACAGGATGTCTACTAAAGGATTCTCATATTTAGAAAATAAAAATAAAAGGATACCCAGTTAAATATGAATTTTGGATAAACAATGAATAATTTTTAGTATCAGCATGTTCCAAATTTTGCATTAGACATATTTATACTAAAAATTATTGCTGTTTATTAACATTCAAATTTAAGTGGGTTCCTATGTTTTAGGACAGGCTCACTACCTCGCCTACAGAGCAACCTGTAATATTTTTTCCCTTTTAGTCTTCCCCCTCTTATCCTGTACCTTTCATTCTCCCTGCCTCCTCCCCTTTATCTTTTGTTTTCTACTATTCATAATTGACCATTTTGTGGAATATTTGAGATATCTGAGTGTGTATGTGTGTGTGTAAACACATGATTTATTATTCCACTTCTAGAAATGTTAAATATTATATTAGAACACTTTATAGATTCTCAGTTGTTTTTACTTATTTGTAATCACAAATGATTTTTCTCTCTATAGGACATAAGCTTTCAAAAAAGTCCACTACTCACTACAACTTTAAAATATTGTTTGATAGTTATTTTCTAAAACAATTAGAAAATTCATATCAATGTTACTATTAGTCAGTTCTAAAATAATACAATTCTACAATACTGTGATGAATGGTAATAGTCTTGTGACCCAAAATAAAATTAGTTGTTTTTTTTTTCCTTAAAAGAAACTCTCAATTTCTAAATGTTTCCCATCAGGTATTATAGGTACTACAACTATGGCCAGAGCAACTAGCAGCAGAAATGAACCCAATATGGTGAGAATGACTTTCTTTTTAAAAAATTCTTTCTTTCTTCATTAATTCATTCATCATTCATTTAATGTTAGGGATTGAACCTAGGGCCTCATGCATGCTAGGTAAGCACTCTACCACTGAGCTACCACCTCATACCCATCCCTGTAATGTGTTAACATGCATTTTAATGTATTTTTAGGGGATTTGCAAAATGAGTGTCCTGACACTTAATTTTTTTAGCTCTTTTTTTTTTCCCTTTCCTATTTTAGAGAAATCTGGAATCAAAGACCTACGCAGAACAACAAGGAGCTACAGAAAGTCAGTCTGATGATGTAGAGAGAGGCTCTTTTTTCTGAGGTCACTGCCAGATGAAGCACTGAAGGATTAGAAGGCTTTCACTCCATTTGCTTTGGACAGATTTAAAGACTAGGCACAGCCATTTGTGTTAATTAAAATCTCTCAAACCTTTTTTTTAGAGCTGTTTTCCCTCTTTCCCCTCCACCAATCTGGGTGGAAATGTTAGATGCTTGGTTTTAAGCATATCAGTAATTTAATCAGTTAGGGATTGTGAACAGCCTCTGATTATTTTGATCACTTTTGGATTTGAAAATGACTAGATTGAAAACACTGTATGTAGTTAAATCCATAGAAAGGAACTCTTTACCTTTTAGCTATTTAATTCTGGGCAGATCTTCTATTGGAAAATGAGCATTAGGTACAAAATAAAGAAAATTATATTCCCTAGACTGCTCTTACTTTCCAATTTCCTTATTGATTCTGTCTCCTTGTCTATTTCTTGATTATCTTCTATCCTCCCAGTACCACTGTTTTAGTGCAGACCCTTTCCTGCTTGGATTGCCACTGCTTCGGTTCCCGTTTCCAGGATCTCTAATCCATCTTTCATAGTACCACTAAAGCTATCTTTCCTGAAAGAGAAACAAGATCATGTCATTCCCCTACTGATTTCTCACTGACTTTTCTTATAAAGTCCAAACTCCTTCACAGACCATAAATGATCCTTCACTTTACAAAAGAACAAACTGGAGTTCAGATACATTGAAAATGTGTCCAAAATCTCACAGAAATTCAAGCCAGAACCTAAGCATTATTCCAGTCAGCTCATATTCCAGTCTAACTTGTATAGTTCCCCTCCTGACTACAAAAATAACAATCTGTAAAGCCCTGAGATGATTAGTTTCATGTTCTGCCAACTAAGTTAGCTGAGTATGTAATCCATATTCTGCTTCAAGAAAGCCATCTCTATATTTAGACCCTGAGAAATTTACAAAAGACAGGAATATAAAATCTAACTGTACTACTAGCTTGAATCAGTCATTTAACCCAAGGGCCTTAGATTCCCAATTTTAATACTGGATTAAAAGAGCATCATTTTAATATTTTCAAATTTTTTGATTTTATTTTTTACCACTGCACTGGATTCAGATTAGTATATGATCACACACACACACTTTTTGTTTTTGTTTATTAAGGCATAAAATAAGCAAATTTGCTTGCTAGCAGAGGTATATAATTTCTTTAAAAATGAATCATGTTATCCCTAAAGTATGAAATTATAAATCATTATCACCCAGACTTATTATTGTCTTTCCCACAAATGCTTCAGACATTTCTTCAAAACACAAAAACTGAAATATTGTATCCTATTTTGTTTTTAAGATTTCACAGTGGGCTCTGACTTTCACTTATGGGAATGCAAAGTTATCTGTAAGATAGCTGGCTACTTATCAAATGGTGTCAAGGGTTTGGTAAATCAAGGATTACAGAGCTCAGCTTTATAGGCACTCATTCAAGTTACTCAGAATCTCAGGAGATTAACTGATAAACCAATCAGTTAATTGGATTACAGAGAGAGCTATAGCTTCCAATTTGGTTAGAATATGTCTATATCTAGGTTATTCCTCTTTCTCAATCAGGTTATAGGGGACAGAGTAAGCGGAAAGGGTTTTGGGTTGAAACATGATTAGTTATATTTGTACTTTTAATATACCAATTATGCTTCTCTAAGAAGAAAACCCATGATATCCTTGACTGTACTTGGGAGATACTTTTTAATATCAATGCCAACTGAGGAAAAACGCTATCCTACCAGCAATACATTTATAAACTAAACCATTGGATGTGTACTATTTTTATGGCTTATCTCCATTATCTTGACTTTCCTACTATTCAGAGGATATTTGCTAACATTTTACTCCAAAGTTGCTTTTTTTTTGCAATGACTACAAAGTGATTATTAATGCTTGTCACATGTTCGTTCCTAAATGAAACAAGGCCAACAATAGCCTGATACTTTCATCTTTAGTCTAGAACTGCAATTATCAGAGGGAAAGTACCAATGTGTAACATTTCTGCCTTACACTCTTTAATCTGGGCATAAAGTCCACTTTTAGTATTGTTTGTATGAATTATGGCCAAATTAGAAAGTGTCTCACTTTATACATAGACTTCTGTAATCTGTTGCATGCCCAGACAACTTTTTATAGCCCCACTGGTACCTTGGGAGGATCCTGCACTGCTTCACATGTTCCACATTTGTCATCTCACATTAGGAAACATGAAGAGAACAAGATTCTGTGTTGGAACGGGAGACTTAGTCTGCAGCTAATCAATCCCACAGCAGCAGATACTCAAGCAGCAAAGTATGAAATATAATTGTTACTTAGTGTGTTAGTTTTTTCATGGGGAAGGCATGGTATAGCAGAGAAGCTCACTGCATGGTGGCCAGGAAAACAGAGAATGACTGTGCTAACTGACATTCTCTTTTTTTCTCCTTTTATTTCTTCTGGTCCCAGCCTATGGGATAATGTAGCCCACATATCAGGGCAGGTCTTCCCCCCTTGGTTAATCCTCTCAGGAAACATTTTCACAGATATGTCCAAAGTATCCCCACGATACTACTTAATCTAATCAAGTTGACAGTTAAGATTAACTATCACAAGCTACTGAAATCATTCTCAGGAGAATCTTGGTCTGAGTCAGGCCCCAGGCAAAAAGTGAGACCCTAGGGAATAGTAAGAATTTTCAAAAAAACTGAAAAATCTATTTTCTCTGCTTCTTTCAGAAGTTCACATATACTCCCTATAAACATTCCTATATATCATACTTCCTGCTATTTGTCAATGTGGTGGAAAATGAAATTACTTAAGATAAAATTTCTTTTTGCACGTTGCTTTTACAGAGAAGATATTTTTCTTGGAAAGCTGGACTTTAAGCTAAGTGTTGGTTACATGGAAACCAATTAATAATTTAAGAAAAGCATGATGTTTTTGATTTATAACAAAGTTAACTTAAACTCAATTCATGTGAGTTTTTATACCTGGGACTATGTTTTCTTGACTTATATGTATTGAATCCTAAAAACTGAATGCATTGTAGACAGGGCCGTTTTAAGAAATCAAACAGAAATACCAATTGAGACATCAGCAAGAAGGTTGACCAGCGGCCTATAATGCCTATACTCCCCGCTAAAAAAGGACCAAGACAATGTATAAGCAACTACATTTGGACTGGAATATCTTAGAGTGTTGGCATATAGCAGGGAAGTGGGAGATACCTAGTGGAGTAGAGAGATTAAGGATGATCCCATAGAGAATAGAATGATATACCCTGTATCTGCCACGTTGTCTTCCCAATTGGGATCAGTTTGTAATAAGTAGACACTTCCTCTGCAGACAAAGTAAGCAGGAAGCTTACCACAGCAGTCCCCGTTAACACAATGGACAACTACAGTCTTCACTGCTGTAGAATCTTGCAGCTCCTATAGGTTCTGAGACCCATTTAGAGAGATAAATGGAGCTCATACATCTATACTACCTCAGAGAAGGAGCCCTGTTGTGCTCCACCATCCCTGCTACCACTCTCCCCTCCCAACCCAAGCTGTAGCTATATGACACCTCTTGACATGGAGCCACTAGTAGACAGTGTTGTGCTCTAGGAAACAAATAGCTTTGGAGGCACTCCACCTTTCCACATTCCAATGTGGCCTTTTGGAGCCTAGGTCTAGTGACTCAGCACTTACTCACATAGTATCCTGCCACTAAAGGAACAGGCAGTCCCTGAAGTCCAGATTGGTTACATACAAAGTGGACATACCTACTCCCAGGGGAGTCCAACCAAGAGCTGGAAATATCACTCTTACAAATTCCCACAGTCTAGGCCATGATTTTATTTGCAGGCATAGCTGATATTTACTATGGCTGGAAAAAAAACTGCACAAATACTGCACTACTGTGCCCACTTGGAGCCAAAACCAATATATATTCTACCCAGCTTATACTCTAAGACATATCTACAGATCAAAGTCTTTCCATATAATTACCACTCCGTAAAATTGGAAGAGGTGGTCATTCTACCAGATGTACATTCATGAACCCAATGTCACAGATGAAAAAACAAGGTAACATGACACCACCAAATAAACATAAAATTCTCCAGTAAATGACTCCAAAGAAATGGGAATTTATTAATTGCCTGAAAATGAATTCTCACAAGGAAAAATCAGAGAAATATAAGCAAATACAAACAAGTCAATGACATTAGAAAAACAAGTCATATCTGAATGGGAAATTCAACAAAGACATATCATAAAAGAGAACCAAACTGAAATCTTGGAACTGAAGAACTCAATTAATGAAATAAGACATATAAGCATTGATAGAAAACCATATCAAATAGAAGAAGTTCTGAACTTTAAGACATGTCTTCTGGGACTGGCGGTGTGGCTCAAGAGGGGATCTGGAGGTGTGGTTCAAGAGATATAGTGCCTGCTTGGCAAACACAAAGCCCTGAGTTCAAACCCTAGTCCCACCCATAATATGACAAAACTATCAGAAAAAAAAGAGAAAAACCTACAGGATTGATGGAATATAACTGAACAAAAACATTTGTGTTATGGAAGTTCCAGTTGGAGAAAAGACAGAAAGCTTATTTAATGAAATAAAATCTAAAAAATTCCTTAGTTTTGCGGAGAGATTTAGACATTCAGATTCTTGAAGCTCAAAGGATTCAATATAGATTCAACCCATAGGTCCTCTCTGAGGCATAATATAATAAAAATATCAAAAGTCAAAGACAGAGTTCTAAAAGCAGAAGAGAGAATCAAGTTATATATAAAGGAATTTCCACTAGCAGATTTCTCAGCAGAAATCTTATAGGCTAGAGAGAATAGGATTATATATTCACAATGATGAAAGAAAAAAATGTCAGCCAAGAATACTATATCCAGAAAAACTATTCTTCAAAATAAAAGAAAAAAATCTTCCTGAGATAAGCAAAAGTTAAGGGTCCAGCCTTTCAAGAAATTCTTGAGGTGCTTCAAACAGAAACAAAAGTATGA